TTTCTAGAAATAAATTATAAAATATATTTTTTCAGTAACTCAACATGGCCTAGACAACCATGAGGTGTGACCAGGTTTTACAGTGTATTGGTTGCTCAAATAGAATTATTATGTCGTTAAAATTTGTTTATTTATTTATGGACATTTCTAAGTTCAAAGCAAAAATGTATAACACAATTTTACTGGGTCATGAATGAATTCTCATTTTCTATTCTTTATCTAAGTAAAACTACCATGTTAGTCCCAAAGCATGGAAGTTTGATTTACATGTACTTTTTTCACCTTCCCAAAGACATATATAATATTACACAACAAAAGCAATAATATGAAATAAACTAATTACAGAATTTATATATTTTGCTGTAGAAAAAACAAAACAAAACAAAACACCGGGTTTAATGCTGAATTAACTGTCGACATTTATATCTATTAATTTATTCAAAAATTGCTCTACTTCAAGATGACTGTCTGTCGACAGCAAAATTTAAGTTTTGATGTTGACATGAAAATCCCACTGTATGTTGACAGGAGATTTTTTGTTTTGTTTTAATACTTGTGCAATTATTTTTACTTTATTTTGTAATTGGGTCAGTATATTAAAAGCAAAATTTGCATTTAAGTAATATACTTATTTTTTTAAAACTTGAAACTACTGCAAATTGACAGCAAAATTCTTATTTGTTCAAAAATATTTCACATAAAAACTGTCTTTTTTTTTGGATAAATTTTTTTTTTACTTTTTCCAGAAAACGTTGGTTTGAAACTGTAACTTGAAACAAAATTATTCACAACAGAAAGGATTTCAATTATTTTATGCATTGATATATCGGAAATGATGATAGATTTTGTTTCCATGGATACAACAACAGAATTTACAATGACCTGAATGGGAAAAAAAGAAGGAAATAAAATTTAACATAAACAAAAAAGTACACTAACTTTCACAAACAATTTTTTGTTCCACCAAAATAAAAACATAAAATTTGAAGACTCCCACAATGAAGTAAGTTAATTAGTTATATAGAGAGGGTATGTCCACAATATATCTTGCTAATTTCAACATACTTTTTGAATGCAATAAACATATTAATGAAGCACATTTTTCTATTGAAACCAACAGATCTTAGCGGAAGAAAAATTAACAAAAGTAGTGGAAATATATTGTAATGACTTTTAATAAACAGATTATGTTCCGTTAAAGATAACCATAAATGCTTTCTTGAAGGAAACATTGAAAATTCCCACCTAATATTGAAGTAAATGTACATATCAATGGATTAACACAGAAAATAATTCTTCAAGGAAATGGTCTGCTTTTAGCATTACCAAGAACAAAAATATAAAGAAAAATAATCAATGGGAATTTATTCTTTATTAAAATTTGACATGAATGCTAACTTTGTGCAAACACCTATTATTTTATTATTTATTATTTCTTCCCCTTTTTATGTATTATTAGTACTTTGTAAAGCATGCATACATGTAATAAATTTTTATGAACACTGAAATATTGAACCAAATCAAAAGTATATATAGTCATCTATAAACATAAAATTACAAGATTTAAAAAAAAAATTAACATGGTACTTTAAGACATTGCATTATTAACATACTACAATTCAATTCTTTACTTTTATATATTACTCAATATTCAATTGTAAAGCTATACTTCTTCTATCAGAAAATAAACACAACAACAGCACATCAAAATTCAAGCTATTAAAATACCAGAAACAAATATCAAAAATTATAATAGCCTAAACAAATAGAAGCTTTAGTTTTTATATATCTTCTTTCCCTTTTTTCTATAAAACCCCACAAAATTTTTTTACACAGAATGCTCATAATTAACATTTTAAATTTTCTACAAGGCCTTTAAAATTGATGAAGATGGTCAACAAGATCGATCTAAATTCAAATTTGTTCATGAACATTCATTGACAGTAATTATGATACTAATAATTTGCCTTGACCATTTGAAGGAAGTGTGCAAACAAATTAAATTTTGTGTATATTATTCAGCAGTTAGTATTCCAATTAAGGCTGTCAAAAATGCAATAATGTTGACAATAGTCATTTTATGATCTGCCAGATCACACAGCACTGGTATGATGATAAAAACTCAAACATAGTTACTTGTTTAAAAAAATTGTTCATTACTTTTGGACAAATAAAAAAATATTCTGTAAAAAATGTTTTCATCCTAAGGCCAAATGGTGAAATTTTAAGCTTTTACATAACATTTTAACTTACACATTCAACCAGTTGAGCTCCCTGTCTGAAATAGACTTGACCGGTGTCCATTTTTGGAACTGTCCATTATAAAATAAAAGAAAGAAAAAATCGAAGGGAAAATCAGTCTTTTCAGTCCTGAACATCGATAAGATTACATAAGGAATCAATTCCATGATAACATTTTATTTTAATTAAATCTACCAAAATGTTGTTTTTTTTTAGTTACTAACGATTTAAAAGTCATACCATTCCTCAGCAACAATACATAATATATCAGTTACAACTAAGGTATTATTTAAACAAATATTTTATTACAAAAAATAATTGTTATATATGTTAACACAAATTAACTACATTATATTCTTATTATTGAGTATTCAAATACAGAATATTATGTCCTCATTTATCAAATTTGTTTTACATAAAGGGAAGATAACTCTGTTTATCAGTTTTCATTCTCACATAAGAGTTACCTCCCTTTATCTTCATAAACATATAAACATCAAACAATCGAAGAAAAAAAAAAAAAAAACGACAAAGTTTCACATAATTTATGTAAATAACTAGAAATGTGTCCATAGGACACGGATGCCCCCACACGTCACTGTTCTGTCAATCTTATGACTCTAGGTCAAATATTTTTGGACTACATGTGCCACAAGTTGAAAACTAAAAATCCACAAAGGGCCATAATTCTGTTAAATTTGGTCGCAGCAAAAATTCCTTCCTTTACTACCATCTACACATTAAGGTTGTTAATCCCTGGTAGTTTAAGCAAAATCTGCCATCTGGTTTAAGAGGAGTTGCGTTCACAAAATTTCTACATAGTATATAGTGAAAAAATCAACAAAGGGCCATAATTCTGTTAAATTTGGTCCCAGCAAAAATTCCTTCCTTTACTACAATCTACACCTTAAGGTTGTTCATCCCTGTAAGTTTAAGCAAAATCTGCCATCCGGTTTAAGAGGAGTTGCGTTCACAAAATTTCTACATAGTATATAGTGAAAAAATCAACAAAGGGCCATAATTCTGTTAAATTTGGTTGCAGCAAAAATTCCTTCCTTTACTACCATCTACACATTAAGGTTGTTCATCCCTGTAAGTTTAAGCAAAATCTGCCATCCTGTTTAAGAGGAGTTGCGTTCACAAAATTTCTACATAGTATCTAGTGAAAAAATCAACAAAGGGCCATAATTCTGTTAAATTTGGTCGCAGCAAAAATTCCTTCCTTTACTACCATCTACACCTTAAGGTTGTTCATCCCTGTAAGTTTAAGCAAAATCTGCCATCCGGTTTAAGAGGAGTTGCGTTCACAAAATTTCTACATAGTATATAGTGAAAAAATCAACAAAGGGCCATAATTCTGTTAAATTTGGTTGCAGCAAAAATTCCTTCCTTTACTACCATCTACACATTAAGGTTGTTCATCCCTGTAAGTTTAAGCAAAATCTGCCATCCGGTTTAAGAGGAGTTGCGTTCACAAAATTTCTACATAGTATCTAGTGAAAAAATCAACAAAGGGCCATAATTCTGTTAAATTTGGTCGCAGCAAAAATTCCTTCCTTTACTACCATCTACACATTAAGGTTGTTCATCCCTGTAAGTTTAAGCAAAATCTGCCATACGGTTTAAGAGGAGTTGCGTTCACAAGATTTCGGGACGTACGGACGGACGGACAATTGAAGAAAAAAAAAATACAGAAAAAAAAAACAAAAACAAAAAACAGGACAAAGTTTCACATAATTTATGTAAATAAAAATATTTTATACATATCAATAACTTTATCTAAGGCAACAGTTTAACAAATAAATTCATTAATCTTGACAATAATACATGGAACACAAATAATATTACGTGAACATGTTAAAAGGAAGTTACACACTTTCACCTCTTTAGCAACAATGGTGTGTTAAACCCCTTAATGAATATGAAATGTTAAGAATAATAAACAGTATAAGTGAACAATGATATATTAGAGATAACTGGATATATGGCTAACTTTTACCAGAGCTTTATTTGTTCTGCCAGTCTTCCTCAAAAGGGAAAGCATTGGATTTGTTTACAGGGTCACTGGTTTGATAGTTTGGAGAGGTGAAATTCTCAGTGACAATCAATTGAGTTATTGTATCATTCAGTCTAATAGTCATTTGAGCCGTGTCACGACAAAACCAACATAGTGCATCTGCGTCCAGCATTGATCCAGACCAGCCTGCGCATCCGCCCAGTCTGATCAGGATCCATGCTGTTCGCTATCAGTTTCTCTACTTGTAATAGAGTTGGTAAGCGAACAGCATGGATCCTGATCAGACTGCGCGGATGCGCAGACTGGTCTGGATCCATGCTGGTCACAAACGCATTATGTTGGTTTTGTCGTGACGCGGCTCATTTATCTCTCACCGCTGATTCTGAAATCATGCAGGATTAGTAGTAGGTCACTAGCTGAGACATTGGTAATTATTGGAGTCATAATTAGAAACTTAATTGTGAGCAAAGTATGGCTCAAACCTACAGTCACTGTAAGATGGATATCTATATATCATATTCAATCTTTAATTGCTTTTTTACAGGTAATAGGCAGCCAAGCAACCAGTTTCCCTTTATAAAATGTGCAAAATGAAAGCATATCAAGCACCTACCAGTATACAGTACATATTTACTCTAAATAACTTAAAACATTACTTAAATATCTAACATTTAAAGTATTAAAATGGAAATGTGAGTGTGTTTTTTTTTTGGAAATGTGACTTAAATGAGATGATTTTCTCCCAACATGATAAAGAAATATGATTTATTTTATTAAACTGATTGCATATATAATTTTCCAGTAACTGTGAAAAATCAAAAGTCTTCAACCATTCCCATGTTAAATTTACACAATGGATTTGTCAAGCTTTTATTTGATAATTTGAAAGTGCACAAATGTGGGACATTTTGGTATCAAAATGCTCAAAATTCAGAAGCCAACAGTTTAGTATGTTATTAGACTGCACAAAATGTGCGGACTGCACACCCTTGTGGTAGTAACTACTTTTCTACACCTGGGAAGCATCCATTAAAGTCTCAGTTTAAGTTTCCAAACATTAGAAATTATGTCAATGCAGAAACAATTATAATGTGCATTATGATTAAAGTTTGAGAAACTGATAAAAAAAATTCAATTGAAGTCGTTACAAATATGAAATATGAAAAAAAATTAATGTACAAAAAGAGAATTGATTCAAATTGCAAAATTTCATTTAAAACACAATTATCATGAATTTTATACTCTATCTACATGATGCACATTTATACATGGACCTGATCAGGACAATATAATGAAATGAAGCCAATTTTAGCAATATTGGGTTGTTGTGGTTTAGAAGTAATCCTAACATTGTTACAGGGGTTTCCAGCTTTACCGGTGGAGGAAGACTTCAGGTACTACTTTGTACAAACTGGCACCTCAGTAGAACCACAAACATTCTGTAAGCTAGCGGGATATCTTCCTCACACATGAAAGTATCAAATGTCACCGGCATGATTTGTACTATTAGAAGTTGAGTGGAAAGCCAATAATAGTTAATCAGATTTCTGAATAAAGCTACCTGAAAATATTCACTGAGAAATGGCTGGTGCAGATGCAAATTCAAAACAACTAATTGCATTCCAGTCATAATTTTTCTAGTTTATCTTGATTTTCATCTATTTGCATAAAACAATTGAGATAAACTACAAAATTATATTCAAAAATATCATAACAAACAAAAAAACAACAACAACATTTAGATGGAAAATATTGTTTTAAGCACATGTGTAAACACCTTTCACTTTAGTACTCTGCTATTTTGTTTTCTAATTTTCAAACCATTTCAGGTCACACTATAATTCACACTGTTATTTAAAAGAAAAGTCTTCTCAACATTACCATACCAATCAAAATATCAAACAAGAATGTTTCTGATGAAAATATAATGTAACTGACTAATGAGTGTAGCACTTTTAGACATGCCTTAAAAGTGTTAATTATACACAATAGAGCCCACATTTTCTTTCCAATGTTTGACCTTTTGACCTCACAATGTGACCTTGACCTTCACAGCATCAATATTACAATAAACATGTATTTTTATAAAGTAAAATGCCCCGCTCATGTATAAGCACATTCAAATGTCAACATGAAAGCAAAATGTAAACATTCAATCAATTTATATCAAAGTGTATCATTTAAAGCAGTGATATCAAATTATACAATTCATATATCAAAGTCCATAATTTATACCATTGATATCAGAGATAACAATTTATACTATAATATTGATATTAAAGTTAGCTCTAAACATAACATAAAGTGGTCAGCATTTGCCACCAGTATGAAGCCCAGACAGTCTACACATCATCACAGTCTGACTAGGGTCTATACAGCTGTCTTACTAACTGGATATCCTAAAATTGATAACTGGCATTTCTTAAAATGAAACAAGGTATGTCCTTATCTTAATAATTCAGCAAGAAAAGGATACAATAATTCACACAGATATCAAACATAACAATTTCATACTTTTATATCAATGCCCGTAAATTTTATCATCATGACGTTAATATTAAATCTCTTATCGTAAAGTTTTCAGATCAGTTTCCATTTTTATCAATTGTTTAACGGCCCATAATAGCATTATTTTACAAATGTCAATTTCATCAAACTTCACCATTCAACAAGTTCACATAATAACAATGATTTCAATTAGCAAAGCACTAGTAGATTTTCTTTTGAGATGGTAAAACGTGCCACTTTACAGTAAAAATTGCCAAGTTAATAATTCTGATCACATTCATATTTAAAAACACAATCTATAAGCAGTCTGTAATTGGCCTTTAAAGTTATAAAAGTTAATTTATACACAGGGAAATGTACCAGTCCGATATATTTATACATAAATAAGGATCAAGATAAGTAATCGCTGAAAGGTCAGGATCATATTTTTTTAATTTTGGTGGGTCAAGCTTCATTTAACAAGGTTAAGCTTATATTATTATGACTTTGGAAGAGTAAACGGTGGAACGTCTTTTTTTTTTGTTTTTTTAATAGTTAAGGTTTGTGGTGACTGTTTTTGAAACTTATAGGTGGATAAAATGTATGACATTAAATAATCAACAAAACTTGTGCAGGAAATAAATAAAAACAAACAGAATTATTGTGTGTATATAAGTTCTTGACCATGACCCTGCTGGGACCAAAAATGACTGACCTTTACCATCAAGTTTAGAGATAGGCCAGCCTGAACTTCTGAGCAATCTGACCTGGCTCTAGACTGTTAGAAGCTCATTATTATTATTATTATTTTTTGAAACCCCTTAAATTTTGAATGGCCTGTTCTTATTTCAAAGCAGGGAAATTCCATAACAAAACTTCAGCAGGCTTAGGATGATAAAAACATTATACATATGAGATTGAAAAAAAATAAATATTTGTCAACTCTTTATAATTGAAAAGAAATGTTTGATGTAAAACAAATATTTTCTTTTTTAAACAAAAACTGTTTTTTAATCTTGCTGCCTATTTTTATTTCAAACAAATCCAATATTTCAATAATTATAATTATCTGGAAGAATTTCTATAAATTACGTCATCATAATTATTAAAGATATCATTTACATTTTAAATAAATCACAAAATTTATAATGAAATTAAAACACAAATCATTACCTCAAAAAGGTTGTCTATTCATGTACATTATATACAATAAATAAAGATAAATCAATTACAACTTTGTTGTCTCAAAATGAAATTTACAACATCATATAACAAAAACATATCATATACAAAGTTCTTCCCCTTTAAGTTGTATTCCCCATTTACTTAACTTACTTTTAAGGTCAAATCCTAGAAAAAATAAATCATACTTCTCCTAACAGAAGCTAAATTATTATTTTGACACAGGCTTTTATACAGTAAGCTTACTTTCTGACTACTTACCAAATTACATGTAATTCATAATCAGTTTTGCATATTATTTTATATTTTAACTTGTACATATCAATAATTGCAATCATTAACATTTTCTAAAGCACTTATCTAAATCTGAGACAGAAGTTAACAATGCAAGTTTAATGCACTGGTAGAGTATAGTACAGTCAAACCAATGACTGTCAGATTTTTGGTATAGAGAATTGACTCAAGTCTTTCTTTATTTCATATAAGTTACTGCAGTTTTGTGTCAACCCAGATATACAGAAAAGTGATCTTTGCCAATCAAAAGTTCTGAAATATACCAAGGTAAAAAGGTAACATAGAATAAGACAAATAAGTGGTCTTTGCTAAGTCAAAAAAAAAGACAATAGACAACCTAAAATGAACAGGTTTCTAACCAGCCGATTCAATGTTGTGATCACCATATTGCACAGGTTTGACTTAACTTCAAAATGAGGAAATTCAGTATTACATCAGTGTTTATTAACTGTAAAAGCTGTACATAATAATCTGCATTTTCCACTGCTTTAAACTTTTTTGTATTTACGAGTTTGTACCAATCTTTTATAAAAAGGCATCAAGTTGGCAATATATATAGAAAATAAAATAAGACTAGAAAGAGAAAATTCTGTTGCTAAACATCCCCTTCTATTAACCTTATTAAATTGGGTCGCAACACAAGCATTACAAATTTTATTTCCAAGAAACACAACTCTGTATGTATGATATTTAAAGTAACAATAAGAGTTGCTTCCCTTTATTAAAAATCTGGTATCAATATTTTACTTGAGCTGCTTTTATTGAAGTTCATAGCATAGATCAATTTTGGTAAAAATAGTTCACAATTTTAAAAAGAATATATTATGCAAATCACTTGTTTGTAACAATCTCTGATCTACCCTGAAAAGTCGCATCTCCTAAATACCCCATCATTCTTCATCACTGATTAAAAGGCAATATAAACTTTGATCACTGGATGCATCAAGTATGGATATTAAATATGAATAATGAGCTGTCACATGTACAGATCAAACAATAACTTAAACATGGAACTTGATCGTTATAATGAAAAGCTTTTGTTCAAAAACTAAAAAAAAAACATCAGCGTAGACTTTACATACATAGTGCGTGATTTTCTACAAACATGACATAAATTATGATGGTGATAGCTAAATTCATACACATTCATCATACGTCCTGTATGCATGGGATAATATAGTGGTTTGCACAAGCCCTCAGTCATAAATAATGATAAAATACTATAGATTTAGCACATATACTGTCAAGAAATTTCTGTTTTATCACATTCAAGCACGTTTGTTTTATTCACTCGATACACTTGTCGATAAATTCAAGAAATCGTTTCATGTATTGATCAGGATGAACGGTGGATATTTCCGCCCCTGCTCCATGTTTCATAGTCTTTGCAGCTTGAGCGGTTCGTTTTTTCATGCCGTAGCGCGTTAAAATGTCAATCAGTGCGAGAAAATAAACCTCTTTCTTTGGTCCTCCTGCAATGAACAATAATAACATTGTAAATAGTCATTTGTTTAGTTTTTCTGTTTTGTTAATGCTGATTTTAAGACAGTTTTTGGCCATACTCAACAGTCAGTCCACCTAGCTGGGTGTTCAGGATAACTTTCCAGCTATTATCACTTTTTCCCCAAGTGACCAAATTCTAATCCTACTTGATTTCTAAATTAGTGGAGATAGTCGAGTGACAATTATTATCGATCAAATAATTATGGAGAATTTTCGCCTCATCTGAGGCTTAAACCAGCCACCCCTGGACTACATATAAAATTTTCTCCCTACTTAACTAGGCAGACAGACTAGATAGTTACACGCTCGAGGTACCTAGGTTACGTTCCAATTACATCTCAATTTCTTACAAAAAACGTAAGTTTTTACAAACAAGATTTTTAGATCTATTTGTAGATTTGCTCACAGCTTGTGCATTTTACATTTACAAGAGTAGAGTTGAACATTTTATATGAAAGCCAGGATGCAAATTATACATATAAGTTATTATCTTTATAAAATAACTGACAAATTTTCATTTTCTGTAAATCTTTTGGTTATCCATTACATAAAATCATATAAATGCTGCATCTTTTGTTTATATTCAGAACTATTCCATTTCTTTTTATCATAGTAGTGAAGAATTCACAAAAACATATCCCATCTACATTCAGACAAGGTAAAAACCACAAAATTAAAAGTCCCATGATACACTTATATATATATATATATATAAATATATATATATATATATATATATATATATATATATATATATATATATATATACTGGCATGCGAGCAGTTCCCGTACAGAAGCAGTACCCGTATTTTTCATTTAAACGCTTGATTTTTACTTGCATTCTTCAAAAATTAATTTCAAATCAAGCAGATACATAAACGAGACAAAATCTAAGTGTCAGCTCGGCAGTACGTATATAAAGTCTCATTTTAAATCACTTTCACCTGTGCGTCGTCAAAACGTGACCTTGTTTTCTGGGGGATTCCGTCCTTGTGCGCATGCGCAAAAATACTTACACGTGAGGCTTGTTAAAGGGTTGTCCACTAATACCACCTGTTTACAAATAAGTAGGCAATGTGATGTAAACTTGTTTAATTATCAGAATGTTGACCAATATTACTATATATAATAATTTTATGGCTTTGATGCGTAAAATATCATGCATACAAGCATGCTATTGCATGTGAATGCGTTGGGGTAACGGTACCGGGTAATTGATACCCGCGTTTAGTCTACGCTCTAATTCCTGAATTACATCTATTTATCTCTTAGATAATGGTCTGTTCAACAATTATAAATGAAAAATAGGTCCGATATAATAAAATTGTATAATTATAATGGGTTAGATTTTATGTACGGGAACTACTTCTCTTCATACAAAATAATGGATAATTTCGGTACCCCATATGAGGCCTCATAAGTTAGGGTTATACTATGTTTAGAACATGATGGAATTTCCATGATTTGTGTGATGAGCTGAATATTGATGTGTAACATTCAAATTTTGGTGAGTGAGCGTAATAAAAAATAATGTTTAAGTAACTATGATTTTTGTACGGGAACTGCTCGCATGCCAGTATACATTTTACCAATTTGATATAAGCAGAAAACATTTACTTACACTAAATCAGTTGTGGAAAATAAAAAAAAAATCGTCCAGTACAAATATAATAGTTACCTTCAACACTTTTAATTCCAAATCTTTCTATATTAGGATCAATATCCCCATTATAAGCAGGCAAGACATTTGGCTGTGGACTGTCCGGTGGTGTAGGCGCAAACCCGGCAATTTCGTGGTTCTCTTCATATTCTAGTCCATTCTCCTCGTCCCCACTGACGGGCTCGTCGGAATCGGTGTTTGGTGCGTTCATTTCTGGTCCATCTGGGTCTATGCGGTCACAATCATGTATACCAACAATTAAACTATAGTCCATAAGGTGGAGATTTGCCAGAAACTGTAACAATATATCAATGTTTGGTTGCAAGGAAAATTAAACATTATTTACAAGGTTTGACTTTAGTTGTTTGCTATTGTGTCGAGTTTTCTGGACTTTTCTGTTATTGTTCTTTTTAAGACTTAGAATATTGTCCTTCAAAATTGTTAAACAATTGAACTAAGGATTTATAATATACAGTTAGAACACTGACATAAATGACAAAATCAGACTGTTTAACAAGTATAAATGATTATTTTAAAAGAATGTTTATGAATTTATATTTCTTCGAGTATAAATATAAGCAAGTAGATTTATATAATATAATAATATTTAAAGTTTTTTTAAATATTTTATGGTGCACCAACACAGTTTAGGTCATATGGCACCAAAACAGGAATGATGATTTTGGCTAACCTCCGGTGTTACAAACTTAAAGCAACACCAGGAGTCAAAGCCACCTCAACTGCTAGTGCTAGAAATGCATATAGACTCCAATAATTTGAAATAAGAATGTAAATTCTAACCTCCACATCTTTAGTTAGACTTGCCATCAAGATCTCCTTTGCATCTGGTCCTATATTTACCTTACCACCGTCTGTGAGAAAATCATTGTCTTTATAGGTGGGCAGTTCTTTAGCCTGAATAAGAAAGCAACAAATTTTACCCCCAGAATGCCAGGTGCAGTTATAACAAATCAAGGCTACCAGTATAAAGCCAGGCCGGATTGCACATCATTGTCAGACCAGACCCTGTACTGTTGACTAACCTCATTAATTTTTATGTTCCAATATGGAACTTATTGCATTATTAACCATTTCGATACTTGTAGCCCACCATCCCACCCAAATGAAACACAAATAATTTCTATATGGATAATCAACAAAAATGAATAATAAACCAGTTCATTCAAAATACCATGAATAACTAGGAACATTAAATGTTACGGTTCTGTGGAACCAATATTTCCATAGATGTTCATGATGTCAAGATTTTAAGTGTGACTAAAGGTTAACTACTCTGTATTCATAATATTATATTCATACAGATTCTGATAGGCATGGAACAGTTTTGAATTCAACCTATTCAATTTCAACAAAAGTGGAGTAAAGAATTTAAACTGAACACATATCACTTAAATATTAAATTAACAGTACAGTTTTTTAATATCATTATTAAAATTCAGAGAACATGCAAACAACAACAACTGATTCATACAAATTTTCTGAATCAATAAACTTACTTTTTCTTTATCACTTGCACATCTGTCCACTGTTGAACCCTGAAAATATCAAATATATCATACACAATATCTTAGCCAGCAAGTTTAAAACTCACATCTATAATTGACCATACAAGCTTAGAAATGTTTAATTTACAAAATGACATAATGGTTAGTATTACCCTTATGCGTATTAACTGCAGAGAAAATGTCAAAATTAGAGCACCATGTTGCATAATCAATGTGCAGTATGAACCAGAACCAATACTGTAGCCTGCTGAACACTTACCTACCTAATATCTTAAAACTGACTTTTCCCATCTTTCAATCTGGACAAAACCATCCATCAATTTTCAGGAAATTTTCAACAAATTTACTGACTGAATTTAAAAATAACAGACAGTGCAGATATAATGAGATGTCTGATGGCATGGACGTATTGGTCATCTTGGTCGACACTGGCTGCATGTGCAGAATTTGTTACCACTATCAGGCTACCAGTTAACTCTGATAATTATCAAAATCTATGACAGGCAGTTATAAATTTGATAACATGGAAAATCAATTACACAGATCTTAATTTAGGTAAGGAAAAAGTTTTCCTCTATAGGCAGTTAGGTTAAGTAATCATAAAATCTTTATATCAAATTTGATCTGACGGAATATATTTTCCTGTACAAAATAAATTAATAGTGCACTTAAATGTGTACTTTAACGGTATATGAAATCAACGAATTTCAATAAATACTGACAATAATCTATGAATAAACATGTTAATTTCCTGGATAGAACATTATTCATTAATAATATTAGTATGTTCTATATAAAAGCTCCTGAAGAAAACTTTCAGTACTGCTTGAACATTCTACTACTTGAATAACAATAAAATTATTTTCCTTCAAGGAAGAAAATGCCAACTGTTAGATTTCTGTGAATTATAAAACCAATTGGTTTATGCTTACAGCTAAAATTATTCGATTGTTTAGAATTAATTCATCTAATAGCAACTTGTAATTGAGTTCACTTCAATATTAAAGAAAATCATTTCAAACTTCCTAGAGGTCTATTAATTCTAGATTCTAAAATTCTATTTAACTGGCAACATTACTTTTTTGAATGCCCTTGACCTGGACTTGTACAAACTGAACTAAGAAGTTCTATGCCATTTGCATATAAAGGCAGCAAATTCTGCATATCAAATAAAACTATGTATTCTTAGTACATTGTACATGTACATCTAAACAGTCTAGCAATTGTCTTTCCACTTCACTGATCAAATTTAGTATTTTGACATTAAAGTCACTCATATTTTGCTAGGTCATTTCATTCTTTACATACATGTAGTTAGTACTGGCAAATGGTGGTCTGTTTGCTTCCCAATCGAGAAGCCAAAAATTCACAAACCTCTGAATTAATGATCTTGCTAGTAATTTTGTTCATAACACAGTCTTTGAAATAACTTATACAAGAAGCTATTTTTTTCTTATATTATTATGTTTATTATTTGTGTTTAGCAGTTTCTATCTGTTTCTCAAAAATTTCCAGTTCATACTTTTAACAACATTTCCCCCAAATTCCACCAGTATTGGTGGCAGGCATTACCAAAATGTTGGAAAAAAGGCCTGTTTATAATCATAAGTTTTATATTCTTAAGATGATCATCTATTTCACAAAATTAGCGAAACGGCCATGTTTTTCAATAAGTTCATAAGCTATAAGCTTTACATTTTAATCCAAAAGACTTTCAGGTATTTCATGAAAATAACTTCACACTGCTTTCTTCTTAAACTGAAATCCATCTATCCTATTTATAACTAAAATTCCATAAAATCAAACATCTTTCTGAATGGTAGACAGATTTAATGATTGAATTTTCGAGATTTCCCTGGAAATTTAACTCAATTTATAGGTCATTTAACAGACTAGACTCTGAGATTTATAGCTCATTCTAGTAGAATTTAATTAAATAAAGATTTCAGAAAAGCATCTAACATATAATCAGACTTATGAAATAGTGAGTGAAGAAATAACTGAGAAAATATTACATTTTCAATTTTAGTGAATAATCTTACTTCTCCCTCTTTCATAGACAAGATTTCAATTTCTCGGCAGTTAGTTAATACAGGGAGAATTTATTTGAGCCGCGTCATGACAAAATCAACGTAATGCATTTGCGACCAGCATGGATCCAGACCAGCCTCCGCCTCCGCGCAGTCTGATCAGGATCCATGCTGTTCGTTTACCAACTCTATTACAAGTAGAGAAACTGATAGCGAACAGCATGGATCCTGATCAGACTGCGCGGATGCGCAGGCTGGTCGGGATACATGCTGGTCGCAAACCCATTATGTTGGTTTTGTCGTGACGCAGCTCATTTTATTTCCATAAAAGCTTATAGACACAAATTCTAATCTGTTCTTACTAAGCAATGTGTGTAAAGTTTCTTGCTCATGGAAACAACACCTAGCCCCTGATGAAGTTCGAACCCGAGCGGTTGACAATCTATATAGTAGTCAGATACATGAACCTCATAGCCATGTCATCTCTTTATGGGCAGTTAGATTTATGGGCTTTAGACATTAATTTCCTAATATGATCTCAAATTAGTGTGTAATTAACAAGTTAATATCTGTAGTGGTTGATGGGATATGATGTTATACAAGAATTTTCATGTAAAACTTAAACCAAAGTGAAAGCCGACACTAGAGTAAGTAGTAAAGTCTCACTTCATTAAAACTATCTGAATAGTAAACCACAATATTATAATTGGGGTGCATACAAATAAAACAAGAGCTGTCCGTAAGACAGCGCGCTCGACTTTTTTATTGCTTGCCAATAAAAAAAGTTTTTGCAGTAAAAGGCAATACAAGAATCTCTGTATTTTTAAAGTGAACTAGTTGTTTGATACCCTTGAATATTACAGCAATGTTTATATGACATAATTTATGGTAAAGTGAACAAGTGGATAGGAATGAATTTTTTTAGATTTTTTAAGTTTTTTAGTGCTTGCCTATAATACAAAACATTGACAGTTAAGGGCCATAATTCAAATAAAATCTTTGACAGAATTACCTTCTCCTGGACATGTTTGGGAATCATGATTGTAAACAAGTATTCCAACTTTCAAATTAATATCTCAAACAGTTCAGTCAAAAAGTGGACTGGTACTAAAAACTTAACCAAGATTCTAAGTCGATAAAAGGCCTTAATTTTTAAAACAAACCCTTGACAGAGTTACCTTCTCTTGCGTACAGATGGGGGTAATGATGTGAAATAGCATTAAAAGTTTCAAAGCAATATCTCAAAGGGTTAAGGCAATAAGTGGATTTTACCCATATTCAATGTATTTTCTAAGTCAAAAAGGGGCATAATTCTGTCAAAAAACCTTGACAGAGTTATGTCCTCTTGTCTGTTGATGAAGGTCGTGATGGTAAACAAGTATGGTCAGTTTCAAAGCAATACCTCAATGGTTTTGAAATAAAGTGAGGTGGTACAAAAAACTTAACCAAGCTCAATACACTTTCTAAGTCAAAAAAGGGCCATAATTCTGTCAAAAACCTTGACAGAGTTATGTACTCTTGTCTGTAGATGGAGGTTATGATGGTGAACAAGTATGGTAAGTTTCAAAGCCATACTTGTAATACTTCTGAAATAAAGTGGGGTGGTACGAAAAACTTAACCAAGGTGTGACGCCAACGCCGACGCCGACGCCGGGGCGACTACAATAGCTCTCATATTCTTCGAATAGTCGAGCTAAAAATCATTCAAACATAACTATTCAAATATCATTAATGATGGTGATTCAATGCAAATAGCATCAAAGTAGCTTATGATTTCCTTTTCTCTTTAATCAAAGAAGAAAAATTCCCTCCTTTAAAAGGTATATGACTTTGTGTTATCAAATTAGAAGTTGTCTACATTCTAAAATCAAACAACTAGTTTAATTTCAAAATTTTCAAATTAAACAAAATTAAATGAACATATTTTGAAGTTTGAGCAGAATTTCATCAATTAAATCAACCAGTACCAACCTTTAAATCGTATTTTTTATGTAGAGGCAAACGAGGACTGAACACATTTCTCATGATGACCAGGTACGTTTCTACGTCATTCACCGTGATCCGGTACATACCCAGGTAGTGCGGTAACAATGTCTGTGCATGGCATTCAACGATATGCTGAAATATAGATAACTGGGTAATAATATTTTGATATGACATTTAACGGAAGTGTTGAAAAATAAAGATAACTTGGTAACAACATATTATCATGGGACTGAATGAAATGCTGAAATACTTGGAAAATAACATTTTGGCATGGCATTAAAGGGTTACAGGCTCTTTTGAAATGCATTTTGATTTTAAAAATTTAACAGGTATTCTTAGTTTGACTTATAAATCATGTTTGAATTGGATATATGTAATACTTTTGGAGAAAATCAAACCTTAACAAAAAGGTTAACCAGGGCAAAAATATGAGAGAGTGAGACTAAAACAAGAGGGCCATAATGGCCCTGAGGTCGCTCACTTGTATATAGGCCCCCCGACCCCCCCAACCTTGCAGGGCCAATTTCACCCAAGGGCTTTTATTTGCACAAACTTGGTAGACACCTATAAGAAGATGTTTCATGCTAAACATCTAAGCTCTAGCTTATTGGGCTTTTTAAAAGAAGATTACACATATAGTTAAAAACAATGACACCCCTGGGGCTGGGCCAGACCTTTTATTTGAACAAACTTTGTAGACACTTACTAGAAGATGTTTCATGCTTAATATCTAAACTTTAGCTATTTTCAAAGAAGATTTTAAGTTTTGCTACACACATATAAAGAAAATCAATGACCCCGGGGCGGAGCCAATTTTAACCCCAGGTCTTTTATTTGAACAAACTTTGTAGACACTGACTAAAAGATGTTTCATGCTTAATATCTTAACTCTAGCTATTTGGGTTTTTTCAAAGAAGATTTTTTAAGTTTTTGCTATACACATATAAGGAAAATCAATGACCCCCCAGGCGGTGCCAATTTTGACCCAAGGGCTTTTATTTGAACAAACTTGGTAAACACCTATTAGAACATGTTTGATGCTACATATCTTAGCCATAGCTCTTTGAGTTTTTTAAAAGAAGATTTTTTAAGTTTTTACTATATGCACATAAGGAAAATCAAAGACCCCCCCCCCCCCCGGGCGGGGCCAATTTTGACCCCAGGGCTTTTATTTGAACAAACTTGGTAGACACTTATTAGAACATGTTTCATGCTAAATATCTTAGCTCTAACTCTTTTGGTTCTTTAAAAGAAGATTTTTTAAGTTTTTACTATATGCATATAGGGAAAATCAATGACCCCTGGGGCGGGGCCAATTTTGACCCCAGGGCTTTTATTTGAACAAACTTGGTAGACACCCATTAGAACATGTTTGATGCTCAATATCTTAGCCATAGCTCTTTGAGTTCTTTAAAAGAAGATTTTTTAAGTTTTTTACTATATGCATATAGGGAAAATCAATGACCCCCCGGGGCGGGGCCAATTTTGACCCAGGGCTTTTATTTGAACAAACTTGGTAGACACCCATTAGAACATGTTTCATGCTAAATATCTTAGCTCTAGCTCTTTGGGTTCTTTAAAAGAAGATTTTTTAAGTTTTTACTATATGCATATAGGAAAAATCAATGACCCCCGGGGCGGGGCCAATTTTGACCCCAGGGCTTTTATTTGAACAAACTTGGTAGACACTCACTAGAAGATGTTTCATGCCATATATCTAAGCTCTAGCTCTTTTTTAAAAGAAGATATTTAAAGTTTTTTCTTTCGGTTGCCATGGCAACCAGAGTTCTGCATGGAATTAAATTCTTTGAACAATTTTTAAAGGTGACCACCAAAGGAACATTCCTGTGAAGTTTGGATGAAATTGGCTTAGTGGTTTATGAGGAGATGTCATTTAAAGTAAAAGTTTACGGACGGACGACGGACGGACGGACGGACGCCGGACGAAAAGCGATCACAAAAGCTCACCCTGTCACTTTGTGACAGGTGAGCTAAAAAGTGTTGGAGCAGCACAATAAATACTGTGTTCCTGTATTAACCACTCAAGGTGCTTGAATGATTAAATGCACTCTTAAGACGTCTAATTTATTTGTTCACACATATTTACTTAAGGATTATCTGCACTTTTAAAATAGAATACTTTCATGGCAATAAACCTGTATACCATGTTTGAATAGCTTTTAAAATTTCTGACAAAAAGGACCTTAATAAATGAAAAGGTTAACCAATGCCACGACTGACAAGATGGTCATGACAGAAGCTTCAAAAAGTGAAGCCAAAAATCACCAAGATCATCCAGGGTCCAACAGTTTGACAAGGAAATACAGGTCAGGTAAAGACTCTAGCAATAATTTTGTAACTTTAATGTTGTCAAAAAAACTGGCAAAATTAATATGTCAACATACAATTAACTATTATGTAAGGGTTTGTACCAGTACCAGATACAATAATTATGAACATCATAATTATAATAAAGCACATATTGAAAAGGGGGCGTCCGTGGCCGAGTGGTTAAAGTCGTTGACTTCAAACCACTTGCCCCTCACTACTGTGGGTTCAAATCCCGACAGGGACTTTGGATTCTTTCATGTGAGGAAGCTATCCAGCTAGCTTACGGAACGTCGGCGGTTCTACTCAGGTGCCTGTTCGTGCCTGAAATAATGCATGGAAGGGCACCTGAGGTCTTCCTCCACCAGTAAAGCTGGAACGTCGCAATATGACCTATACTGTGTCGATGTGACGTAAAACCAAAAAAAAACAAAACAAAAAACAAACATATTGAAAGGTTAGTATATATCTTGGTAAGGTTTATAAAGTATCACGGATCTATATGAGGGAAGTGTAATAGAACACTTGTTTACAATCGTTGCTGCAGATAAAGCCCTATAAAATGCAACAAAACAAATAAATCCACAATTGCTTGATGCAATGCCATTAAAAGGATAGAAAATTGATATGAATACTATTTCTATCTTCTCGTGCAATAACATAATTTATCTCTGCAGCAGCAAAAAACTTAACTATTCTAATATACTGCTTAATTGTGTAATAGATACCTCGTTTTTGTGCTGAGTGGACAATTTCTATATCTGTGTAATACTGAGATAAAAGGACTGTATTTGCATCAATTACAACATGAACAACAAACAAGTGGCTCCCTAGGATACTTTTATCAAGTTACTGCTGTAATTATTTCAGGATGAGATAACAGGAATTTATCAGTTGTAAAATATATATAACAGTACAAACACAGTTTAAACAAGAGCAATATATACCAGACTTCAGTGAGTCTACATTAACAAAGTTGAAAATTGGTCAGCCAACACTATAGAGCCTGGTCTGGCTAAACAAATGTACACACTCTACATCTTTTACATTCACTGTGCCTGTTTAAGGCTGCTTAAATAACAAGAGGGCCATGATGGCCCTGAGGTCGCTCACCTGTATATAGACCCCCCCCAACCCCCAACCACCCCAACAAACGTTGCAGGGTCAATTTAACCCAAGGGCTTTATTTGCACAAACTTGGTAGACACCCATAAGAAGATGTTTCATGCTAAACATCTAAGCTCTAGCTCATTAAGCTTTTTAAAAGAAGATTTTTTTTAAGTTTTTACAATACACATATGCATGCAGTTAAAAACAATGACACCCCTGGGGCCGGGCCAGTTTTGACCCCAGGGCTTTTATTTGAACAAACTTTGTAGACACTTACTAGAAGATGTTTCATGCTTAACATCTAAACTCTAGCTATTTGGGTTTTTTCAAAGAAGATTTTAAGTTTTTTGCTATACACATATAAAGAAAATCAATGACCCCCGAGGCGGTGCCAATTTTGACCAGATGTCTTTTATTTGAACAAACTTTGTAGACACTCACTAAAAGATGTTTCATGCTTAATATCTTAACTCTAGCTATTTGGGTTTTTTCAAAGAAGATTTTTTAAGTTTTTGCTATACACATATAAGGAAAATCAATGACCCCTGGGGCGGTGCCAATTTTGACCCCAGGGCTTTTATTTGAACAAACTTGGTAGACACCTATTAGAACATGTTTGATGCTAAATATCTTAGCCATAGCTCTTTGAGTTCTTTAAAAGAAGATTTTTTAAGTTTTTACTATATGCATATAGGGAAAATCAATGACCCCCCGGGGCGGGGCCAATTTTGACCCCAGGGCTTTTATTTGAACAAACTTGGTAGACACCCATTAGAACATGTTTCATGCTTAATATCTTAGCTCTAGCTCTTTGGGTTCTTTAAAAGAAGATTTTTTAAGTTTTTACTATATGCATATAGGGAAAATCAATGACCCCCCGGGGCGGGGCCAATTTTGACCCCAGGGCTTTTATTTGAACAAACTTGGTAGACACTCACTAGAAGATGTTTCATGCCAAATATCTAAGCTCTAGCTCTTATGGTTTTTTAAAAGAAGATATTTAAAGTTTTTTCTTTCGGTTGCCATGGCAACCAGAGTTCTGCATGGAATTAAATTCTTTGAACAATTTTTAAAGGTGACCACCAAAGGAACATTCCTGTGAAGTTTGGATGAAATTGGCTTAGTGGTTTATGAGGAGATGTCATTTAAAGTAAAAGTTTACGGACGGACGACGGCCGGACCCGGACGAAAAGTGATCACAAAAGCTCACCCTGTCACTTTGTGACAGGTGAGCTAAAAATGGGCTTGGTTCCAGGTTTATTAGGTTTAATTGGATTTTAATTTGGAAATGTGAATAGATTGCAGGCACTTAAAAAAAATAGAGTTATGAGTAGAGTTATGGCCCTTGGCAACCTGTTTGAAGATTATCAGAAGTAGACAATCTCGATTATGTTAATCTCATAAATGTAAAACTTTCTAAGAGTATATTACTTGAACATTAAATATAAACTTTTACAAAACCAAAAACCTGACAAAATCTAACCATCATCCTGAGATAGGCCTCTAAGTCCACAAACATAGTCAACCTGAGCATGCTAAACCGTGCAGTCTGAACACTGCTCTTATACCACAACAGTAACTTAACTTTTGTAGTTCAATGTTAAAATCCCTTAATCTGTTAATGGACTGTTCCAAATTCAAAGCTGGGCGACTCCATTACACAAAATCAGCTGGTAAAGTGTTTCAAAGATTTT